TTGTTCCTTACGGTCAAATGGTTGGCCACTCCTCCTTGTACCATTTGACGAGTTCAGCCCAGTGACACAGTTCTGGCAGAGGCTGATGCATGACCACGGCTGTAGTAACTAAAAGCTGTGCGAGCAACATCCTGCGCCACAGAACTGCCAAATTGTTCCCGATTTGCTGCACGCTCGAGCTTTGCCCGTGCAATTCCTTGCGCGGTCAATGCAGCATGGCCGCGGCCCTTCGATCTGGCCCAACGTGCCTGCAGCGCGCGCATAGTCACACTTGCAAGAACACCCAGCATAGCCAGTTATCGTGTCCATACCCTACTCGATCTTTCAGATTCAACCAAAAGTTCATAACTAGACTTCTAATGTATTTTTGCGGTCTAAGCAAGCCTAATTGCCAGATTCAAATCTAGTCTAGTTGCCTTCGGTTTGGGAATTGCAGCCCTGTTCCTCAGCACTCGTCGACCTCTTCCCCCCTGAATCTGCCCCTGCTGATTCTGGAGGTCAACGCCATTCTGATTCCCATGTCGCGGCACGCCAGCCAGCAAACGCCGGAAGGCCATGGCAAGGCGTTTCCAATCTCAGTCTATGCACGTGCGTGCGCCAAATTGCAAATAAAACGTCCACTTTGTTCCAAGACCAAATATATGAATTGATGGTACATGGTCCATGGTCGTGTCCGTGTTATGTTTTTTCCACAGCTATATAATATATTATATTATATAATTATATAATAATATAATACGATATATAATATATATATATATATATAAAAGTTTCAGTGCTTGCGACGGTGCTAGCGTAAGTGCTGGCACATTGAGCTTTGGCGCTAGAAAGCATAGTGTGTTGCGCGCATCATGTTTTGAATAGTAGTAGTAGTAGTAGTAGTAGTAGTAGTAGTAGTAGTAGTAGTAGTGGTAGTCATTGGTACATGTTACATTAGCTAATTCTGACTCAGTTTAGTCTGATTCCAATTCAATACGTCCGCGTGGTTCCAACGAACATGAACTCTCACACCCACTGGATTCTGCCTGGAATTCATCATTGGGACTGGTGAGGCGGCTCTTCTTGGTCGCCCCCCATGACATTCTCCAAGACGCAAATCCTTGCAGCACACACGGCACAAATGCCCACGCTCAACAAAGTCTATAGTCTACAGTGTTCAATCTGAATCCTCAGGCGTAAACGTCTCGCATCGGTGGTTTGAAGCCAAGTTTCTTTGGACGATATCGACGAATAAATCGCGAAGACTCAACAAATGGTTTTGCCCTCTCTGCCTCCCAGGTGCAAGATTGAATGCCAATGATCATGAGGAAATGCAATAGATGATAGAGATTCCACAATGACTCACGATGACTCATGACCTTTGCAATTTAAACATAAAATGCGGAATCTCCTTGATCGGATCTGGTTTCTCAAATTTGAAAGAGAGGATTCAGGATTCAATCCACAGACACACAGAAAACCACACAGCCCACGTAATAGCCATGCCGAGGTGCGTGCATGGATTTTTCAAAAATCGTTGGGACGGACTCATGGTTGAATCGCGAGCAATTCTCCTGTGCAAACATCTGGCCGGCAATGCTATGTCTTAATTTTGAGGATTTCTTGCGAACAAACTTGCAAATGAAACGTCAATCGTAAATTGTGCGGAGCTCCTGCGAGAACAATTTGCAGGTGAAGCCGGCAATGAACATGTCCAGGTCATACTCCACGCTGGCCTGGGGAACAGTCAGTGAATCACACCCAGCTTCTTCCCCGCTGCCAGACACTCCCGGCGCCTCTCCACTTGCATGTTCCAAACCAAGGCATTCTTGTCCGTGAACGCAACAATAACCTCCGGTCCTGGCAGCATCACTTGTTTTGGTTGAGCCCCGAACGATTAGACCGGAAGTGCTAATTGTGTCCTCGTGTGTTCCATATCTTTGAACATGTGGTCCACCTTATGGTTGTTCATGAAAAATCTGCGGGTTCCATCCTGAGCTTGAATCGCACTGTGCAAACCGGAACTGAACATGTAACATCTACCATTTGCTTGTATTGCATCTATACTAGTACTATGCTAAAGAATAATACTTGCTTTGAGCTGTTGCAGCACGGAGAACGCTATCATTCCTTTGGTGTGCTTCAAATTTCCAGCTAGCGACATGCCGCTCCGAAGCTGCAATTTCCCGATAGTTTGCAGGTCCAACCAAATGCTGAAGGGCAAAGCTAGGAGCGCCAGTGCATGAACACGCTGTGACAATCGCCTCAAACAGGCCGGCCAAGCAAATCGGGGCTCGGTACACTTTCCTGAACAACACACGTTGCATTTTCTAGCAGCAATGCAGCTGAATCACAAGTGACTGGTCAAGACGAGCGTGAAACTGCTCTTTTGGTATCCCAATCGTATGGAAGAAGGTGTTGGACCATCCTTGTGCAATCCATGTGTTCCGTTCGTTCTGTCCTTCGACTGGGCCTCGGCTCCTAGATCTAGATCGCGGTGGTTCCTCCACAGATATGTCATCAAGCAAACGCAAAAGGGCCATGGCAGCGCCTGATCTGACAAAAGATTGCGCGCAGATTTGTCAGCCTGAAACAAAGTTGGTTACTGGAACTCCCTATATCTTGCCTATGAAGCGCGAGACGTGTGTTCACATGAGGGTTGTGGAGTCCTAAGTGCTATTCCTGACTGTATCAAAGACACTGACATCCGACCAAACCGTGACTCCAAAGTCTGAGCCATGCTTGCTGGATGAACGACATGTTGTTTCCCAAATGCAGAGAGCGGCAAAAAAAATCCACTGAGGCGTTGTTTGCTTGCCATGACATCGTGGTGTACGCACATTGAAAACAAAGACCCGAATCCTTCAACCAACAAAGGAATAAGGCCGGACAAAGTGCAAAAACCGGGATCCTGGCCTTAGTACTAGGAGCAAGGACGCTACTAGGGGCTCCTGGCCTTTACTAGGAGCAAGGACGCTACTAGGGGGTCCTGGCCTTACTACTAGGAGCAAGGACGCTACTAGGGGCTCCTGGCCTTACTACTAGGAGCAAGGACGCTACTTACTACTACTAGGTATCACTGCCGTAAATGAGGTTGTCATTGCATCTTGCCCTGCGCAATGCCCTGCGGGCGCCTTGCACCGCAATTTTGCGGTCTGGCAGGCACCTAGCCCCCAAAATTTAAAGGCGGGCGCTTTGCGCCAAAGTTTTCCGCCCTGGCAGGCACCTAGCCCCAAAAATTTACCCTCCGCCCAAGCACCTTGCGCCAAAATTCTGCGCCCTGGCAGGCACCTAGCACCCAAATGTTACCCTCCAGGCGGGCACGTTGCACCAAAATGTTCCAAAATGTTGCGCTCTGGCAGGCACCTAGCCCCCAAATTTTGCCCTTTGGGCGGGCGCTTTGCACCAACATTTTCCGCCCTGGCAAGCACCTAGCCCCAAAAATTTACCCTCTGGGCAGGCGCCTTGCACCAAAATTTTCCAAAATTTTGCGCTCTGGCAGGCACCTAGCCCCCAAATTTTGCCCTCCAGGCGGGAGCCTTGCACCGAAATTTGGCCCTCCGGGCGGGAACCTTGCACCAAAATTTTGCCTTCCGGGCGGGCGGCTTGCACCAGTATTCTGGTCCTGGATCTGAAAAAGTAGGGTTAAGCCTACCACCAGCTTTCCAAAACATAACCAAGAATGATCCAGCTAACGAAGGGAAACCAAAGGACATCACGTGATGTTGCTCTCGCTATATGCACCATTAAAATATTGCCGCTGAACAACTCACCTGCTTGACAGAAGATGTTGACACACAAACCTCCCAAAAAAGGATCCAAGAACATCGCTCACCGCATATGTTGCCACACCGCGCCGCACGGCGTCAAAAACCGATTCCCAAAGGCCCATCCGCCGGGCAGCGATGACAGCAACGTTGTGCTGGTACTGGGGGCCATAGGTCTCATCGCCCAAGCTTTGGAAAGCATTTGGCATGGCAGGCCGCTGTGGCGCGCTTAAGAGGGCAAGCGTGGACAGGTGCCCTTAATTGGACCCGAAAGCTCGGGCCATGGGATGGCTGCCTGGCCTTGGCACCGCTACCTCTGATGGATTTGTTGGGGCTTCCCTTCAAAGAGCCTGGAGACTGGTCAGTTGAAGTACGTTCCACGTCCCCCCCTGCCCTCCCTTAAACCTGCCGCAGGAGGCTTAGTTGCCTAGCCTGGTTGGCCTGAGCGTGCCCTTACACTTGATTGTTTGGAAGGAACTGATTGAATCTGATTGAGACAATCCATTGAAAGCCATCAGTACAGTGGAGGGCGGCAGGCAAGCTAAATGATCTGTGCAAAAAGCATCAAAAAGAAACCATGTATAAAGCCAAAGGTTTAGGAATGTCACTCATTGTTGCCTTGACTTCAGGGCCAGCTTGATCCAATCATAGAAGGTTTTCAATGGCTTTCTACAATGTGTCACTAAGAAACTCGACACCAAGCCTCGCCTGCTTTAGACAACAGCTACGCCCCGAGCATTGCTAAAGCTTCCTATTTCCTCTCCTCCATTGGTCGGTGGACCTTCAGTGCACATGGGTCCTCAGTGGAATCCTATCTTTGCAATCTTTTGCACGCCTTACGATCAACAGTTTTTCAATGCAACACTGACCTCCAGTGCAACGGCTGTCACTTGCCCAAACACCTGTGATTCACGCAGGTCGGAACTTTTTTGGCCCGGTTGCCGCGTACGCATCAAGTGTCCTTCATTTTGAAGGTCTTGGGAGTACATCGGTTTGCTTTCATGGCAGTGTGCCTAGAAAACTTATCTAGCTGTTTGATGCTTTTTGTCGATGCTTCTGCAGAGGTTAAGTGACCTTAGAGGACCCTACTGAGCTACCTATGGCATAGTCTATAGGATCCTTCAACCTCTGCTGGAATGCCGGAAGAATGGAGGTTCACCTGTTTCGACTTCCACCCTACCAGGCCCTCCCAATCCAGCAGGCATGAGAGCAAGCTCCTTGCTCTGGCCTACTGGCCTACTGATACAACCCGACTCAGGCGGGGGACACGCTGCGGGGCATGAGGCCTCAGTTTCCACGGGGCTGGGAATTGTTTGGGGACGGGGATGCTGGATAGCCTTCTGCAGATAGCTTCATCTGTCAGCAGTCCTTCCAGAATACATCGATGCACATCAAGTAGTCCTGAATAGGTTCGGTTTCCAACCCCGTTTTCAACTGACAAGACATCCAAACATCCAACTTGTGACGCCTCATCCCTGCTGTCGCGATGGTGGGAGGCTAGTTTTTGTGCCAGACCACACGGGACAACCATCGACATAGCAGGTTGGCCTTGTTAATCCATGTTGGTCCCAAAGATTCCCCAAGCCACCTCTTTGGATTTCAGTCCTCTGCCTGCCTGTCTCGAATTGGTCACTCTTGGTGCCACGCTGTGTCTCGACATCGACTGCATCAAATGCACCTCAAGGTGCTGGAAACGCTGATAAAAATGCTTTGATTGTGCTGTGCTGCAGGCAATTCTTCCCCTGGTTAGCAAAGGTCTCTCACATACTTCAGTGAGGCCAATCAGTTGGCAGTGACCTACAGCACTGAGTGTCTGCTTCTGTGCTTGGGCATCACTCTTGATAGAAGAACCCTGCAGCCTCCACTGCACCCAAGACTGTCTTTTCCAAAAAGCACTTCAAAAAGAACACACGACAAGCAACTTGGCCATCATGAAAGTGACTAGTGTGACTGCCAGCCCGGCCAGCCCTGCCTTGCGAATTGCTTCACCCCACCTGCGAGTCTGTGGTGTCTCTCTCCTTTCTACCGCTGACGCCGCTGAATCCGTCACGGTGGTGTCGTCACGCTGATCCGCTCCGCGTCGACGCCGCGCTGTCCAGTGATCCGTTGCATACAGTTGGGTTGAACCCAAGAAAAATAGGACAACAAAACAATGCACGAACGGATCTCGAAAGAAGAGAGTTCCCAGTCCCGGGACCAGTCGACACAACGCTGACTTGTCCTTGAACATCCAACGCTATAGTGAAAATGAATCTTTCTTCCAATCCTTGGAAGATGCACTTGTCAGATGTTATTTGATGATATTTCTTTATCAGTGTCACGACTGCCTTATCCGTCCTGGCCCAGGATAAAAGTTGTTCAACGATTGTGAATCACTCTCCACATGTATATATCCACCAAGTGTCAAACACGAGTCACTACAGGACTGAAGGATCCCTGCCCGGCCCTGCCAACGCCCTGCTCTCCAGGTCTTTCAAGGAAGAGTTGTCGTCAAACACCCTTCTCCCAGTCTGAGACACCCAAAAACACTCGAAAACAATAAAATTACGAAACCAATCCTTCCCACCCCAATAAGACACCCCTTCCCATTCCTTGACGCTCTCTTCTCCCGACCCCACCTACTCCTTCCCGACTTGGCCATGGAAGATGCCAGGATGGCCTCAACATCTCAGAGCCAAGCGCCGCAGGCATCGGACGTCCACGTAACCCCGCCCACCCTCTATCAGAGCTCCTGATGTTCCACGCCCCAAGGACCGCCAGTGAGAACCATCTGAAAACCACCGCTTTCCACCAGCCGTTTCCACCCCTGCGGTGGTCAATGCCGGGCTTCCGTGCCTTTTCAGTGGTGTCCAGATCGTTGACCGTTGAAAGGGTGGAGCGAAGCGTGGGTCTCCGACCCTGGAAGCGCTCGCTCATCCGGTGAGCTCATCCGGTTTACATATATCCCAGGCACGACCCATGGGACGGCCATAGGACTGCCGAGAAACGGCCAGGGGTGGTGCCAGAGGGGTCTGTCTGGGGCGGCAGTCCTATGAGCAGTTGCATGGAGTGTCTGGGGTCTATAGGCGTGTGATCAAACAACGGCTCAAAGAAAGGCAGCAAGTTCTGACAGGGTCTTGATAGAATCAAGTGTTTAACTTGTTGGAATGATGTTCTGCACTCCACGCTGGGCTTTTGTTCTTTTTGATGCTCCTCTCTTGGTTTCTGTTGGGATCATGGATGTCAAGTGCTCAGGGATGAGGGGGGTCATTTCTCTCGGAAGACCGGTGCATCGCGTGACCAGAACGGAGCGGTCTCCACACACGTCACGGGCCTCCTCTCCGGGCGGCAAACCGGTCTGAAAGCCATTGGGAAACTCTTTGTGGAGTTCCTGACGCGCACCGGATGGAGCCACAGGAACTCGATCAAGTATAGGCATGACTTCGGGGTCACAAACGTGGGAACAGGATCGAATAGGTTTGCTCAGCCTAGAACCTGCCAAAAAAGCATCGGGCTGAAGTACGAAATCCATTACAAAAGACACGTAGGTGACCATGCGGGACCCAAATGGGTTTGGCCGTTCGCTTTCGAAGAATGCGCGAAACTCCTCAATCTTCTCCAGAATGCCCGACCTGGAGAACAGCTGGCTCAAGGTACTGTGCCATGTTTCAAGCGTTCCTGACAGATTCTTGTGCGGTTTAGTTACATACTTGCGCTCTGCAATATCTGCAGTCATGGCTAGTCCCTGCTTTGTATCTGCAGACGGCTTGGCCATCGGTCTCTATATTTGTCTCCATTGGTCTCTTGACTCTATAATTGCACCCTGCTTGGCCATAGGGAGTTTCGCCCATCAGTCCCCCATCATCACCCGAGCCGAGCCTGGCAACGCTGGGGGTGAGGGTTGCTCCGATCGGCTGAAGGAACCCGGGAAGAACACCCTTGTTAGCAGGGGATTCTTACATAAACACCATAAGGATCCATACACGTCTCAGCAAACCAGGACGAAACGAGCCCAAACTAGCCCAGCTTTCGGGTTTCAACGTCACCGAGTTCCGTGAGTCCGTTGCTCAGCTCGGTCTCAGCGCTCGACCCTTCAGGATACCAGGCCTGGCGCTTCGCAGCCGGCGGGGCGGCGGTTTTCTCGTGCCTCCGTTGACGTCTGGACCCATGTTTTTTGGCTGAAGCTACCAGTACCCAGGCACTCCATGTATGCCATATATGCCTACATTGGGGTACAGTAGTTTTAGGGGTCAATGTAGGCATATATGGCATACATGGCGTGTCTGGGGTATACAAGTGCATCGCCGCTACTAGTAACATGCCAGAAACGGGAACCCATGACGGGGCTGTGGCCGCCGGTCAGGTAGGCTCACCCACATGGTGGAAGTGGATGGCATGGGGCTTTTTTGGAAGACCCTTTTCCGTGACAAACAGCTGATTTTCCCACTTCCATGTGATGTGTTTGTCGGAGGGTAGGTGTTTGAAGGCGATGGGGGTCTGGACGGATCCATGACTTCCACCTGGCGTCGGATCCACGGCCGGGGACAGTGAATTGGTCCTTCATCGGTTGAAACGGACCGGGCAAGCAGACCCAGGGTGGTCCAAGATTGGACAGAAAAACCCGCTTTGAGGATGGAGTTCCAGAGTCGAAGAGCTTCGAATTCCAGCGTTTTTCAGCAGCACCTCCATGATCTTCTTGCAAGCATCATTCCTTGGAAGGTGGCTGAAGTTTAGCCGAAGACCCATGAGGTGATTTGGGAGAAGTAGGTAGCCAACCGACCCATCACTAGTAGATTAGTAGATGCTCAAATTGATATATACAGTATACGCAGATATATACATACTTATCTACACACATCCCCCCCCATCTCTCTCTCACTCTCACTCTCTCTCTCTCTCTCTCTCGTATTTCATCTAATTTTATACCCATCAGAAGTGGGAGAGTCAAAGCTAGCTACCTCGAGAGTCTAGGGAAAGTGGTTGTCAAGGTGCAAGTACACAGGTCAAAGCCCACGGGATCCCACGGGTAAAACAATGTGTTTGGCCTTTGCTGACCTTTGATCTTTGATGATCTTTGATGATCTTTGCCAAAGTCTTAAGCGATCTGTTCCCCTAAGCCTCCCTGCGAGATCTGCGCTTCCAAGACATCATACCATCCCTGATCGCGGACACACCTGGGACGCACTGTTCTGTTCAGGATGCACGAGCGGCAACTAACTGAGACCCCCAAAAGTTGACCATGAGAAAATATCATAAGTCATAAGTATGGCATTGTAAAACTGTACATGAGTGGTGAAGTGCATGGTTCTTTTCACCCTGGGAATTTCATGGAATTTCCATGTTCGTACCAGAGTGTCCGGCATGACATCGACCTGGACCGATGTGCGAGAGGTAGTAAGGCATTGTAAAACAATTCAGAGTGCTATGAAGGAATCTGGGACGTTGCGCCAATTGAAGACTCTTTGGATCCAACCACCCTCATTCCAGCCAGATGTCATGGGCCCATGTGGTCTGACGGCCTCAAGCTCTGGACTGTCTGATTCGAGAAGCTCTGGAGGAGTGGGAGGGATCTCCCAGGCAGCCAAGTGGGCCAACATGTGATTCGTTGGACTCTACAGTAAGGGCGGCATCAAAGGTGTAGAAGTAGCATAACTAGCCAGGATGTCTTCTAGATTCCCCACTGCACTCCGGCAAAATGTGGAACCTGCCAAGATGAACATGCTTTTCGGATCATGCTCATTCAAAACTGCCTGAGGGGGGTCTGAGACAATGGCTTGTTTGGGTGTCAGTCACCCACCGAGTCTGGTGCCAGTCGAGCTCCCTCAGCTGCGTCAGGCTAGCTCAAGAAGCAGCCAGTTTCGTCACGGCGTCTCGTCGTCTGTTCCAAGAATCCAGGCCACACGGGGTTCAACGGCATGGCATAATCTTCCTCCACCTAAGCCATGGCAGTCGCCCGTCATCTGCGGGAAGAGACGGAGAGCTCGACCCGAGCTCGACCCGAGTTCGCTCGCTCCGCAAAGGAGGCACTCCCTGCTCCAAAGGCGATCTTTTTTCAGTGTCAAAGGAGTGAAATCTGCCAACTTGTTCTGCCAGTCAAACATCTGGCACTACACGTATCAATCTACTTTATCGCCATAGTCGCACACACACACACACACACCCAAACACGCAAGACATCTGTTCCACCCCGTCTCACCCCGTCTCCACAGAACCCGCCAGGAACACACCGGTCGCCAGCGATGTGTATGTCTTTGTTCGGACCCAGGAACACGTTCTTCCAGGAAGTCCCGTAGGGCGTCCTACACAGTCGTGAGATCGAAGGGAGTGGCAGAGGCCTTCACCAAAGGCTGGGCGTGGGCGGCGTGGAAAGAAGACATCCGTAGCCTGAAAAGAGTTGCCCGTGAAGCTGCAAAGAAACTGGCAAGCCACGTATTCAGGACAACCTCCTTCTCTTAATTCTGCAGAGGTATCCACGACCATCATCTCCAAGTTTGAGAACCTCTCACAATGTTCTAGCTCGTGACATCTAATGATTACTGGCGACCCTCCATATATATCTGTGAATTCCTCGCAGCATCCTGCAATGTTGCAGCCCAGTTTCGTTCTTTTTCTCGTTCGTCGGTCGCGAGTTTCTCTCGGCGTCCGAAACCGTTTCTCTCGGTCCTCGTCCATGTATGCCCAGGGCCTGTGACGTCCATCGGTGGAAAGGGTGTTCAGCCTGAACAGACCTGGTAAGCCTGGTCCTTGTTCAGTGTTGGTTTCATTCTCAGCCTTTGGATTGAACTTGGTGGTTGCATTGAGTGAATGATTTCTCAAAAACGTGAGGGAGACCATTTACATCGTTCGCTTCTGGTTGCATCCCCATTCATGGGCGATCTTTCTTCACCGGAGTTCCGGTTTTCACACCTTGCGGGTCGGGTGTTCCTGTGAAGCACTTGTGATCTCCTACAAGGCCGCGAACAAAGGCGGCCTAAGCTCCTCTATTGTGAGGGAATGAGTTGGATTCTCCAGACCGGTGGTGTGCTTCTGTGAAGTCACAACGTTGTGACCTCAAACGTAGGGTTCTCAGTAGAGTCCCCACAAGAGGGAACTAAACTAAATGAAGGTCTTGCCCAATCTTCTCCATCCTAATCGGTGCCGAAGTGTTCTGGTGCAATTTCTTCCATGAACCTAGCCGCTAGTAGGTGATGGAGAGTGTGTCTTAGCTTTCCCATTACGGTTGGGTTAGTGGCGGCCACGGTTTCTGGGTGCCGAGCTTGTCATCAAAGCCTTCCCAAACCTTGAAGCGGCAAACGGGAAGCTGAAAACGGGGATTTGGGCCTCCTCAGGCAGCCGGGCAAACAGAAAAGCTCTCCGCCCAGTTGTGGAAATCCGCCTAGTTCGGGAAAATACCAATCATCATAGATCATCTGATCATATCTGATCCGCCCAACATCGGTGAAATCGAAGAAATAAGCCAGGAGTAATTCATCAAAGCTGAGCTGTTGACCACCAGGTAGTTGTCATCCAACTCCTCAATTCGCACTGACATGCACTGACCATTCGCTGGCAAAAGAAGAAACGGGACACCTTTCCAACAGTCCAACAACTATTCTCTTTGGGACCGATGGCATGTCACATGCCCTGCATGGTGAAAGGTTGCCGGACTTGGCTCAAAAAAATCAAACCCTTCATACCCTTAAATGTCATGAACATGCGCTCAGGGTTGTGATTGCATGTTCTTGTGATGTCTTTTGTGTGTGTCTCTTCCACTGCTTCGATGCAGGCGCTCTCTGCTTGCCAAACACCACTCATGAAAGCGGAATACAATGGAATGCATTGCTTGGTTCCTTTACCTTGTGTCATCCTGTGCCACCCTGTGTCTGCGTCAAAGCAAAACAGTGTCCGCTACAAAACGTCCATCTCCTGAGGGAAGTAGAAATTGAAGCACTCAGCGCCATGGCGTACTGCGCCGGATTCACTCGTCGCCTCCACAATGCCCTGCCCGAGACGAGGTGGTCGAAGGCGCAGGCGATGCCCAAAGATGCCAAGAAGGCGCGAACTTCGCGCTCAACTCGTTTGGAGTCGACACGGGAGGATACCCAAAAAGGATCGTGAAGAAATGTCAAAGGCAATAGCCAAGAAATTCATCTGCCAGACTTCATCAAATGCCCGACTTGTGGGCCCACCTGGCCCCACCGGAACCATCCAAACCCGAAGCTGCTAGTCCCAGTCCAGTACCATCTGCCTCTATGAGTTTGTAGGAGGTCTCATCCTCGGCCGATGGATCTGACGGGAACGCCCTTTGCAGGTGCAAAAACACTTGAAAACAAGACGCGAAACACGTCAGAATCTGTTTAAAGACAGCTTTGCCATGGTTTGCCTGCTCATAGTCCACCCAATTTAGGTAGGACTTGAGTTTAACATATCCATCGTAAACCCCAAACTTACCGGGCCCCCTCCCAGCATCTGAGAGTGGCAACTCCCAAGCCATACTGAGAGTGGCCACTCCAAAGCCGTACTCCGGAATGTCGGGATGGAATCCTGCATGAGCCGGGCTCGCTCACTCTAGCCTACGCCTACGCGCTTGCGAGGGTGGAGGGTTGGAGGGTGGGAAGAAACCAAGCAAACCCGGCTACAAGGAGGCTCACTGTATTCTCAAGTCGTTGGTTGGCAGTCTTATGGCACATGGACCATGGCGTCCATGGAGCAGTAGATGTCTGCTCAGCTTCCTCTCAGCAGGACCAGGAGGGACGAGCAGCAGTCGGGGCAAATAGTGCAAGTGCTAGTCCTGTAAGTCGAAGGGAGGTGGAGCAGCTGCCGCTACCACTGGCGCTAACGACTCGCCCACCACGGCAGGGATTAAAGCGCCAAGGCAGAACAAAGACACTAGCAGCGACGGACAAGGTGCCAGGGTTGAGGATACCAACGGTGGTTTTGGACGATGCACTTCTGTTGGTCTACTGGTTGCTACTGCTGACAGGATGACTTGGCGCTTCCTCTAGCTCATAGCCTGGACTTTGTAGAGTCTCTTGCCGGAGATCTTTCGCAGCTGTTTTGAGTTTAGATGAGATATTTAGATATCATCTCCAAGTGCTCAAACCTCTTGGATTGGGACAGATCCCACCGTGCTCTTCACCGTAACGGACCGTCACTGAAGCAAAAGCCGTGGAGTCAGCGCAAGACCGCAGGAGCGCGTGGATCGCAGTGAGTGTGGCCCGCTGCGGAGTGATGCTGCGGAAGAACCAGGTGACTGCATCAGTTCAAGGCTCACAAAGCCCCTAGGAATGGATGGCCGTTATGACGAGATACCTACCTGAGGAAGTAAGCAAGAGAGATACGTACTAGTATACCTGAGCAATTTTACCCAGCCTGACCACGAGGGGTGAATCTATATCTAATTTAACCGAAAGGCGGGAGGATTTGGCTGTGGTAGGAGCACGGGACCACCAAAATGATCTGGTACAATAATAATGAAAAACTAAAAATAATTCAGATATTTCCAGAAAGAAAGTGAATCCCTTGAAATCGAATGTGGTTTCTAATGGTTTCCATGTTTCTATCCACCTCCTCAAAGTTCCATGCACTTCCCAGGCAGCCCTCCGGGAAACGACGATTTACGCCTCCCGGTGTGTTCGAAACGCTGCCGCGGCCCTTCCGCGGAACCGCGCCACGGACTCGGCACCTTCGTCGTGCGCTTCCTTCAAGACCTCCAACCATCGCCTGTCTTCGGTGCCACGGACCGAAACCGGGCGGACCAACGAAAGCGCGAGCACGGCCAGTGACTCGCAGAGCAAGGAAGGCAAGGGGCAGTTGAGCAGTTGGGAAATGGTTTCTATAGAAGTGACATGAAGTGACTCAGTGTTTCTAGAAGCACTTCAAAAGCCTCACTTCAAGTGCGCACATTCCACCGACAGCTTTGGAAACACAGGCTGCCTCTGTCAGAATCACGTCAACTTGGAAAAGGTCCGTAACAAATCTTGACGGTGCTGTGACCGAAAAGAATTGATGAGAATCCTGCAAGAATTGCTTCCTTCATCTTCCTTCCTACCAATCGTGCTCCGCAGACTTGTCGATTCTCATCTAAAAGCTGAAAAATCTGAACGGCTCAGCTGGGGTTCTTTCCATTTCCATGTCCAGCTCCGTGGATCGTTGCCGATCGTTGCCCCCACGACTCGATCGACTCCCAGGACTTTTGGGCCCTTTTGTTGTGTGGGCGGAGGCTTGAGAAACATGGTACTTCCTGGCGAGTGTGTGTCCGGTTTGCATCAAGTTTGACGCATCTGGGCGTTGTTTTGCTTCGCACGGCTTTCAGGCTGTTGATCGTTTTAAAACTCTTTATGTCCATGTATCATATGGTATCATATCACATTTTGAGAGGCCCATCCTGTTGTCTTGTCACTGTCTGTGGAGGCCAACCACCCACAAATGAAAAATCCAAACTTGAGGCCGAGGGTAGGTGACGAAAGCTAGCAGGGGTGCATCCGGACTGGTGGGACATCAAGCGGAGTGAGGCAAATGCTCATGAGGTAAAACGTTGTGAACATGTAAGACACACAAACAGCAATGACACAGTCAACCTTAGAATTGAAGTCCCTGATAATTAAGGACAGGAAGCGTGGCTGGACTTTGCCACACTGTTCGATGCATCCGATGTGTTCACAACCTGTGAGCTTGTTGAATCTGTTGCACCGTATCCCAAAACCTCCACGGAGGAGTTGAACCAGTGTGGATGCCATAAGAGGTGCCCAAGAGGTGTCCCAGCGGTGTCCCAGAGGCAAAACAAAGCTGCTTGCATGATTTGTTTGGTTTCTTCTATCGATGTCGATGTCATGAACATGTGAGCTTGTTGAATCTGTTGCACCGTATCCCGGAGGAGTTAAGCCAAAGTGGATGCCATAAGAGATGCCCGAGAGGTGTCCCAGAGGCGTCCGAGGGGGGAGTTGAACCCACGGGGGGGGGAGGGGGGGGGGACCCCCTACATATGAAGTTTTCACGTGATGCGGCGATCCCGAGGATTCCAGCCCCTCACTTGCTAAAGCAAGGACAACTCCAGCTAGCTGGTGCTAGCTTTCCTGAAGAACAATAAAAGATCAGTCGAAGGATTGGCTGTGCATCTAGCAGCATAGCAGGAACAGAAAGGACGTCCACACAAATGCCAACCTACCCATGGGTCTTTGGTTGTCTTTGCTATTTGTGACCCAGAGCTATGTTAGGGATATTTGAGGGATTCATTCGGTGTCTTTGCTGCAGTGCAGTGCTTCATTCTCCGAGCTGCGAAGTCCAGGAGGACAAGGATGGCTTCCGCAAGAGCTGCTCGGTGTGCTTCAAAGCCTCGGTTGGTGGTGGATTCTATGGGCCCAAGATGGCCCAACATGTCCAAGTTCGACACCTGTCCAATCACGTGGATTAGAGTGGTCTGGAAAAAGATCGCACGTCTGGACGACCCCCCCCCCCAGGCTCTGTTTCTATGGAATTTCATCTGTCTAAGACATCTGCTTGCCATCGAGGGATGCAAAGCGCAAGGCTGGTGACTGACGGTGACATCAACGAAAAACACCAACTCATCACTGAACACATCCTGCCAAGAAATATATCAGTCCTTGACTTGGTGACTGGCACACTGCACTTGTGTGCCAAGCGTTCTGACATGTCACAACCCTGCAGACAAACATGGACCCCGAAAATTCACCTGTGGTAGCGACGATTCTCCGAACACCAGCCAACCCAATGGTTTCCGGAGTTCCATGTCGTCCTTTGAGCCACAGAATCAGAAGCATGAAGGTCTTAGAAAAATGAGGAAAACCATGGAAAACCTCTATGTTCCTCTCGCCTGACGATCACTCTTGCTCACAATAGGTCCTTCTTTCTGCCCATCGAGGCGGTGACCCACATGGCCAAATCGGCCTGTTCCGGGTGCAGTCCTCAGCCGTCAGTCCATTAAGAACACATGCTGCGGGATTTGCACCAGACACTCAACTGACAACTTCGTCAAGATTGCACAAATGATATGATGCTAACTGTGCTATTCAATGAAAGTGGCATCACATGCATTCATTACCACCGAAAAACACTCGACTGAGCAACATGGAAGTGGACAAGGCCAATGGCTTTCCTCCAAAAGCAGCAGTTTTGACTTCTTGACCCTTCTGCGTCAGAATATCGGGACTACAGAAAGTCCAAGAGTCTTTTGTACGTCATGCCGCGGCTTCCAACCTGGCGCACAACTTCCCATTTCCGCGCACTGCACTGTAATGCCTAATTGTCCATAAGTGTCCCTGATTTGCAGTTGTCCTGGAACATGCACTAAGAGCGTTTGAGGCTCAAATCATCTCTGCCGTGCCAAATATGCGCAAAAGGAGAAAGAAAGTGCCCAAGACCTAATCATGAGCTACATTCGCGAATCTCGAGGCTCTCGAAGTCGGAAAACCAGGCAGCTCCACTGTGAAGGTGTCAAAGTCCGAAACAACCTGAGGGCAAAGCAGGTGCATTTAATCATTGAAACCTACCTTCTCTGTAGACGAAGAACACTGGGCCGGACTAAGGGAAAGTCAGGCTGAAAAAACAAACGTGAGCACACACACACACACACACACGCACACACACACACATATATATATATATACACATATAGTATTAACATATTATGCTAGAGCATCTATCTTCAATGATTCCAACTCCGTTTCTCACGTCTTGAAGGTGGTGCCTTGGGTTTTCTCAGGCTGCAGCTGGCTTGACAGTCGCTTCTGCGTAGGCAATGAGCAGTCCATGGGGATTCATCGCATTGTCCTCAAAAATGTGCAGAAACCATTTCCAACGCAACCACCCAGGCCATCCTAGCAGCCGTTCCTAGATTCCCCACGGGCTCTGCACTGCTTGTTGATGCTTGTTGGGCATGATGCTCGATGATGCAGCCAGCAGAACTTCTGCGATGCAGAAGTTGAGTCCTGGTCGAACTGGTAAAGGACCACCTTTGGCTTTGAATCCCCACGCAGTGCTTGCAGATTCATATCCATGAAGGCCTCACATGTCAGTCAAACAATGTCAAACAGCACAAGTGGAGATCTCACAAGCACAGTCATGGTCCTGGAATAGATGGGAAGTCTTTCCATGTTCAATCTCTGACATGTAGGACTCACCTTCTTGGGGTGTCGAATTAGAACCCCAAATGGTACCACGTGAGCGCGGCATTGATTCATTATTAAGCTCAAATACGCTATCGATTTTGTGGGGGCCCTATCTTGTTTAGACTACTTAAGTAGGAGGTCATAGCACAGTATCTCGTTCAGACTGCTTTAGTGTCATCACAAAAAGTATCTCGTTTATTGGGGGCACTATCTTGTTCACCGGCGAATTTTGATGTTGGACTGACAAACAAACAAACAAAGAAAGCATGCCGTGGACTCCTTAAGTAAGGAATTAATAAAAATAACAATATAAAAGTGGTTGCTCACATCTTCACCATGGCTGCGCGAAAACTCGCAACCTGCGTCCCCGGGCGGGTGAGGAGATCCTCCCGGTCTCCCAGCCAACAGCCGGCTGAATGTCCGGCCTTAGATGGACCCGACCGATCTCGAACATGGCCGATCTCGAAGATCCGCATTGGTTTTGTTTCACGTGGGTCCTGGGTCAATGGTCCGGGACCTCTTGATGTTTTATGATGTGGTGGGTTGATTTCGAGAAGCATGGCATGGTCCAAGAAAACCATGCCATCCACATCACATCACGTAATCATGATTCTTTCAGGTAGTGGGTAGTGACTAGTGTATATGTTGGGCCTATCCGAGTCTACCTGTAACAGTGGATGATGATGGTTAGTAAGGCCTTGTCCAACAGTAGTGATTTGCTTGTTTACTGACTGTTACAGGTAAGTTCGGACAGACTACCTCACCCAAAAATTGGATCCTCTACCCGATCCACTGAGACTGGGAAATTGGCACACGAGGCGCAACGCCAATGGAAATTGGTCTTGAGCCTATTCAGCACCATACGCGACAGTGGGACGAAAACACTCACATGGTTTCGACATGAAAGTGGCAAAATCCACGGGTTTCTAGAAGAAAGTCCTCTTCCATAGAAGATGTTCCACGTGTTTCATCATGTTTCGACCATGTGCTCTCTTGCGCTTCGGGCCGATTCGTGGCTCACCAGGCTCGGCTCTGGAACGTCTGGGATCGCGGCTTGTCAATGAAGGCATAGTGCAAAAGTGGCTCCGGCCTTGGGCATTCCAAACGCGGACCAGTTCCTATCCCCGCTTGCTGGTACATGCTGGTACCTGTCTCGTGAACCCCAGATAGATGACCGTGGCACGGTGTCCAATAGGCCTTTTGAGTTGGGATCTACTTTTACTATCTATTCAGAGGTCTACATCGCCTCAAACCTCTGAAAGCTGTGGGGCACTCGATCGCTTCCCTCTGTCACACAATCAGCAACACTCATCTCATCTTCAAGCGGCAAAATAAGGCCGGGAGTGTTGGGATAGTCGTCCAAGGCTATGAGGTGATCCTCCTCGCTTCGACGCGAAAAAGCGGAGGGACCTAACCTGGCCGACCTGGCGGAGGAACAAAGATGGAACAACGGTTAACTGCCCGTGAACATCGTGAAAAACATGGAAAAGCATGGAAAAAATCATGTGAGAAACCGTAGCTCGTGAACATCGTGGAGGAGTGAGCAAGTCCTGCACATGCAAATCAGCGGAATCCAGCAGGCTTTGTAGCTGTGACGCGGCCTTAGCAGCTTAGCACATGCGCCAACAGTGTGGCTGTGCATCTTTCTTAATCATGGAATGTAGCCAAAGTCATGTGCCAAGCTCTCCGAAAAGCTCACGCGCAGCAGTTTTTAAGTGCAGCTCACGACTGCGGAGCTCGTCCGAAGCAAAGTAGATGGTGACACAGGCGTCTGAGGGTGACCTGGGAGCGGAATGAAACGGCGAGAGGTTTCCGAAGCGGCTCTCTAAGGTTTCCAGACATTTTGTCTCCATTGAACATCTGGACCCCATAGGTGAGAGGAACACAATGCGAGTCTCAAAAAAAAAACATGCGAGTCTCCATGCATCGCATTTTCTGGGTGCCGAGCAGGCCGACCAGGATGCAGCGTAGAGATATATATATTTTTTTAGTTATTTACTATATGTATACTTGATATATATATATATATACGGAATGATTTAGTATAGAGTATAGACTATACTAGGTGAACATGAAGATTACAGAAAACAGATCGCTCTGGGCGCGCCCCACGGGGCAACTTCAGCCTTGTCATTCCTTGGATCGGACCATCCACCCACTCATCCAAGAAAACACCACAAGAGAACTCTGCCAAATGCGCAAAGGTGCCTTTGAAAGCTGTTTGGTTTGCTTCAAGCTGCTCAACGAATCCAGCTTCTACCTTCATCTGTGGAAATCTTTCATACTTTTTCTATGTCTTGTTCTATCTCTTCCCTGTAGAAGTCAGCCTGCCTTCGATTAGCATCACGGCCACTTGAGCAGCTCTCGGTCATCGACCGTCCATCAACCGATGGTATTGGGTGGCGGCGACCTGCCTGCGAGAGGGGAGTTGGATCACCGTTTCGTCCAAGGATCTCTTGGCTGATCTGCAGGAAGGGCACAAAGCCCGACAAGCGATTCCTGAAAAAAGAGCGAGCCAGCAGAGAGAATGCCCAGCTGGAGGAGTGGACGAATGTGCTGGTAGATGGTGTTTAAGACTAAAGTTGTTGCGTTCAGCTCGCCGAACATACTTTTCAACAAACGCCCTTTCCTCCAAGAATGAATGATGGACGGCTTTGCAAAGAACATGAAACCACAAGATCATTACAGCTGCCCAACCACACCGGTGTTATCTTGCTGCTTCTCCTGTCATCTCATTTCGATGAATAAACTCCATGTGGGAGAGATCTTCCCCCAAAACAAAAATCACATGGTAGTATGCAAAATGTATGTGTGTGTGTGAGTGCTATATGTGTGCTATATCTAGCCCAGCCATTCGAACAGCAAACAGCCGTCGAAGCTCGCCAGTCGCTTATGTCACAGCCTGAAAAACCATGGAAATGGAACATGGGCAATGGGCAAACCATGTTCCTCTACAAGGGGGTCTGCTAAGCTCCCATGACTGTCTAGCGGGTGCTAAAGGGAGACCAGTCAAAACCACTTGGCTCTACCTTGCAAAGCTCAGTTTGTGTGTTTTGCCACCGCCCCTCAGACAATGGTGAAGGTTCTATAGAACAGATAATCTCAACAAAAGAAGGACAAGAAGAAAGCGCAGACCGAAAGCAATCACATGACGAAAGCAATAGCGTCATTCGGTCATGGATTCTCTCCCTCATGGAGGTAGGATCTCAGCATCCGACAACTTTGCAGACTTGCCCTTCACGTTCAGACCCTTTCCAACCTGAAGAGCCCGGTTCTTCCGGAGCGAAGAAATGAAGAAAGGTGGGGATGAATGGCGTTGGAGGGGAATGGGGAATACGGGGAGTGAGGTAGTTCACTTGGATACTTGGATGACTGATTACTGAAGAGTATCCAAGTGAACACCTAAAAGAGGGAAGATGGTCAGAAGTCAACAAATAATCCCGAGTACCTATTTAAAAACGGACCCCTATTAGAAAAAAGTCATGTCGGAAACCCCTAAATACGGTTTATATTTGCTTTTCAATTGCCGCCCTTTCAAGCCGCCACTAAACTACCAACATTGCCGACTTTGGAGGAGTTGTTTTTATTAGGTTCCAAAAACAACCGTAACTGCCCACCTCTGTCCGCCCTGTCTATCCACCATGACACGCCGCGCTTACACCAGCAGGCTTTCCTTCCCCCAATGGCACGGACTCACGCAAACGCACTTGCCACCAAGGTCATGCAACACCGCATGGCACAGCGACATCACCTTTCGAAAGCTTTAGCTGTTAGTCTACTGAAGAATCACTATTCTAATGAAGGTTTTTGTAGGGGAAAAGGAAGACCCTTCGATCTGGAGCTTTTTTGCATTTTTGATACGAGTTTAATAAATGATTTTATTTGAAATTTTACTGATTTACTTTTTGGTTTTGAAGCTCTTCCCAGGTGACCCTATTTTGGGCCCCCCCGATTTCAGGGACCCCCTATTTAAAAACATGCGACCGAGGTTTCCTTATTAGGGGGGGGGGGGGCGTTTTTTATTAGGGGGACTGGATTATGATAAGCAAAACACATGGTGGGGATGCCACTTCGGCTCTTCATGGGCCAACAGTGCTGCAAGTTCTACTTTCAAGGCCACCCCAAAAATGGATGAAAGGAACACTAACTACGGATGGTCCAGATTGAACCTGCTAGGCCAAGAATCCAACAGTCCCATCACCGCCGTCAAGGGGTAAGACGTGACATGCCCACTGTAACTAATGTGACATGCACCCCATGGTTTCCATCATACTTCCCATCGTCATACCCCAAGAATAAAGAACATGAAAGAACATGAAAGAACTCGTAAAAACACCATATTTCGAGACAATCATCCAGTTCACACCTTTTGCTTCGCTCCAGTTCGTGTCCCAGTGTCCCTCTCTTCGGCACGGCCCCTCGTTTCATCGGCCCATCTGAGGGCGCCCACGGCTGCACCACTCAGCATCTTCGCTATGGCATCCCGGCTGGTGGGCCGATAAACGGCGAACCTCACCATCCGTAGATCGATGATCGGAGAAAAGGGGGCCTGGAGGGGCGGAGGCGTCGAGCTTGCACGACGTGAAAGAACACCACCAGTTTGCTGCTGGCCCGCGACCCTCGGCGAGCGGTTCTGGAAGGTGACCCCGACCAGCCACGACGCACACCCTTCTGCCACCTAAGCGCCCAGGCCACTGTGTGTCTCCGCCTCGCGTGGTTCGCGGCCGTGTTCGCGGCCGTGGACGGGCCTAGGATTTCAAAAGCCTTAGATTGAAGAGTCTTTACCCAAAGACGTGGCCCACAGCAGGATCGCTCGGAGAGCTGAGAGTGATTTCTCTTAGCAGACCGGCCAGCAGCTGGACGACCAATGCACCAAAACAAACATTTTGTGAATTTACTCATTTGTCTTGTGTACAATGTGTTTTGTTGCGTTCTCTACTGGAATCCCTCGAGGGAGCTATAGGTAGCCAGGCCTAGGATCTAGAAGATCCCTGGACATGACAGGTGAATTCAAATCACTTCACTCTCCACCCTGAGCCGCTTCTGTTCACGACCTTTTCTTCCTTGGAAAGCATTGGGAAACGCGTGTGGCAGGCACCGCAGGAGGCTCGGCGAGCCCCCAAACTAAAAGGCCACAAGTCACATTTGCAAAGCTACACCCACCGGGCTGCAGCCCTGTCAGAAGTACTGCTGATTTGACATGACGCCCAACAAACTGACAGCCTTCTGTGGTTGCCACCCTCTCTCGAAGGCATGACAGGCCACGCTCAGCGTCACCGCATTGGGCTGAATTCTTTGGCATTGCATGGCATCCATGAGGCTCAATGCTTGCTGCCAAAGGTGTTCTTTCTCACACGAACTGAGAGCCGATGTGAAGGAAATCACATCAGCTTGAGCTGATGCCTCAGCTGAACCAGCTCGTGACGGCTCCAGTGACCTAAGGAGACCTCCCAGGCAACCACCCCCTGGAAGAAGGGGAAATAGACCAGTCCTACCCATTGGTTGGACGTCTCCGATTCCCTATTCAAATGCACCATAATATGGGAAAATGAAAAGCTCAGCGATGGGAAGCAATGGGTATGGACAGAGGATTGCAGGGGGTAGTGATCTGACAGCACGATTTTGCATTCCACAATTAAAAAGCATATTAATGAAGTATCAGTATTAATGTTCATGGTTGATGGTTCAAAACTCTAGGTGTTCTTAAATCAATAGTCAACATGAAATGTCAGTAAGAAATCCCGTTTAGAATTATGTGTGCAACCTATATCATTTCAATCTCCCCAAGGGTGGTTCATCCTCCGCCGAGCCAAGCAAACGCAAGCAAACGCAAGCAAAGCTGCCAGTGGAATCATGTCAAGCAAACTGATCGCACGTTGCCACTGTGACCCCTTCTCACAGGCACTGATGATGGCATTGAAGCTGATGTCATTGGCTTGAAGCTGTGATTCCAACATCTGGTCCAAGAGTCCTAAGGCACAGCACCATTGGCCACTCTTCCTTGACCAAAGGCGAGGACGAATTATGCGAAATCAACGCTACGGGTTGGACCGGTGGGACACATGGTAATAACAGGAAGCGCCAAGTTAAACTGAAAGACTGTAAGCTAGTTGGGGACTGGTCAAAACCTGGAGCCTCGGCACCATATAGCTTAACCTTCCAGGTAGGTCAACACGGGCATCCTGGTTTTGACCCACAGCCAGTTCTTGGGCAAAACTTGGGTGATACATGATGATACATGGTGATACCACAAAAAGCACATCGGTCTATATACATGCTGGCTGCTCGCAGGCACTGATCGCTGCATTGAAGGTGAGTACATCCATCAAATAGCCCTTTTCGATCATGGTCTCCAGCAAGATGAGTGCATGCTGCCAACGCCTTGAGCAACTTTGCTTCAAGCACGAAAAGTTGTTGCCAGCTAGTTTTTCCGGAAACTGGAAGGGCGGGGTCTATCTAGCCTGCTTTAGCAGCTGCGACAGAAATTCGACTTTGCAGATTCAGACCACTGGATTCCTTCGTTCGCAGTGTTACAGGTTATGGGCGACGCTCTTGAAAAAACAGAACCCCGAGAACCCGAGGACGTCTACCCGACTCGACGGTCAACGCTGGCCGACGCTGGCGGGGCCTGCCCTTTTCACAGGCGCTGATCAAAGCACTGCAGGTCATCAAGTTGGACTGGATCAGCGCACAGACCATAGCTCTTAAAAGATTCAACCTTGGAACAAGAATCTTTTTTGGGTGTGTATCACGCATCCAAGGTGCTAAGGATAGGATTCTTAAGCGTCGCAAGTCCAAGACCGAGGGAGCTTCCGGCAGTTCAACTCATGTGGGCGATTCTGGGAGTGAAAAGACGCGTTCCGCAAGGAAAGAAAGCTGGAAATGGCTCAGCGCACCATACTTCGAGCTGAACAAACGAACAAAGCCTACAGGAAGCATGAGCCGCACCATTGCGCCGCACCCAACCACCGCAGGTCGTTTCGTGTTTCGCTTTTTGGGAGTCTGATGGAGCGATGATTGAAGCCTTCATCGCGATGTTTCCTGATTGGCAGAGGTCTAACCCACCAGTTGGTCCAACCCACCAGCTCAGCAACGCCTGTGGCCACTGTCCGGCCTTCTCACAGGCAGTCATTGTGGCACCAAAGGTAGTGACCTTGGGATATCTTGGGATGGGGTGCCAAGGTCAAGTGGATCTTTTTACGGTCCTAAAAAGGGTGCACACAGCGGATCTCAGTTTTCAAAAGGCTCAAGAGAGGTCTGTGAGGCCAAAGACTTTCGAATCAGTTTTGCACCTCCAGGCCCTTAAAAGGCCTATATATAGGCATTGCAATTTTCGGCTATACAGTGCCTAAGCATACCAAGGGTTCATGGCCAGACCGGTCTCGGGAGGTTAGGAGGTTCTCAGTTCGCCAAGCAACACCAGGTTTCAACTCAGCCGGAGCCATGGATCCCAGGAAGGACAATGCCTGCTGCCAGCGTCCACCTGGAATCCACAGAGTGACTCTTCAGGACGGGTCGAAGCTGGAGAGGTGCACCCTGCTTTAGCCTTTCCACCTCTTCTATCCATCAATGGGGGGCACCAATTCATGAAGGTGACCCACTTGTCCTGGGCAGGAGGACAAAATCCAATGTTTGAGGTCCGTGGTTCGGGGGAAGATCGTCTTTTGGAGATGCCTGCAGCATTGAAGGCTCACGCTTGATTTAAATAAACATGAGCAGCTCAACAGTGATGGCAGATGGAGCAAAGTTGCAGCGGGCCACCTTGCTGACATGCTGAGATGGACGTGTTGAAGCTGATCACATCAAGCTGAACCTTCGTGGCAAGCACGCGTCACGCGTTTGTTGCGCACGGGCGAAGCTGACTTTGGTTTCTAGCCTGATTAACTGTGCACAAATGCACCTCACCAACTCGGAAGTTCACTTGGGGTCTTGGCTCTCAATAAACGAATTCAAGCTTGCAACTTGCTGTTCAAAGAACTTCTTGAAGCAAGGCTTTTCAGCCAACTTGGAGCCCCAAGTCCTATCCTTTCTTCCGCCTCAATGCGCCAGGCCACTGACGCCAACGATGCGAAGAGCTTCAAGGCCAACTCTGACCGCTCAGCTCTCTGGCAGGCTTTCATGAGCGCACTGAAGCTGACGACTTTCAGCTCCAACTGGCCCTGCCGACGAGTCTTTCTCTAGTCAGTCTTTTCTTTTTCTCCACGAGTACGGACGCCATGTGGGCGGAGTGCCCAGGTCATCAGAGTCTTTCTCTAGTCAGTCGCATGAGGTCGGGAGGAGACGCACCTTCAAGATCGAAAATCTGCAAATGACGAACCACACTGCACCACCACATGGCAGGGTTTTCACAAACAAAAGACCTGCTCAAGCTTTGGAACCCGTTTCATGACCCAGAACAACCCTTGGTGCTGGCTCCGAAGCCCTTCCACAGGCTGGTGGTGCCACAGGTGCCACACCTCCTTCATCTCCTCCACCAAGCATAAGGCCCTGTCCCAACGCATCACCGCCAGCAGCACATTCCGCAGCTCCGCGTCCCGCGGAGCACCCACGGGCTGCGCGGAAAGCGGCTCGTAGGTGGAGTGGCCAGCGGTGTACAGGCTTAAGGCCATTGGCCAGTGGGAGCCCTCAGGTGTTGAAAGGCCGGAAATCAACTACGACGCTAAAGAGTCTGACCCCAGAACCCGCTGAGGTTGTTCTTAGGCGGCTTTTGTGTGCTTTTGTCTTTTTTTTGTGTCGGCTCCAGTTGAAACCAGAGCAGCGAAGTGTGGGAGAAACAAAGGGGATGAATGTGAGCAACGGGCCTCGATGTGCTTTTTGGGAAACCATTGGAAAGATGCTCTCAAGAAAAATGTCCAGTCATGTTACGTATGTTTATCATTCATTATCATTCCATTCCCTCTTGAGAGATTGGTTAGGAACACTCCCTATTTGAATGCCGGCCAGCCCTTTCTGACGCCTCACATGCGCTCATGGCAGCGGTACAGGTGATGACATTCGGTTGAAGAAAGGCGGCACCAAGCGCATTGAATTCTTGCATCGCCTGCTGCCACTGTCTGGCACTGGCACAAGAACTGGTCACCGCATTGAAGCCTCACAGGGGTCGTGTTTGATCCCAGCACTAAACTATGTATACTTGAGGCCAAGGGGGGGGCGAAAGCTAGCGCTCCAGCATGGGAAAGAAGAGGGCAGCGAGGTAGGAAAAAACACGGCGCTCTTTTTGGAGGCAGGGGTGAAGAGTCGTTTATATGTGGCTCTTTGCCCGGATCCTCCTGCGAGAGAAGAGAGAGAAGAGAGACGGAAAGACGAGAGACAGAGAGGAGAGAGAGAGAGAGGAGAGAGAGATGAGAGAGATGAGAAAGAGATGAGAGAGATGAGAGAGATGAGAGAGACAGTGAGACAGTGAGAGAGTGAGAGTGAGAGTGAGCGAGTGCGGCCGCAAGATACGCAACGCTAACCGCATGCCAAAGAGCGACGACAGGACGGAGTCGAACTTGCGAAGAGGGAGGAGGGAGGAGGGAGGGAGGGAAGATGGGAGGAAGACAAGGAGGAGGAGAGGGGAGGAGGTGGGGAGAGGGGAGGTGGGGAGAGGGGAGGAGGGGGGGGTGGGGGGGTGAAAGAGTGACTAGGGCGTACACGGTAGAGGTGCAGACCGCTAGTGTCTTTTACTCACGCAGAGTCTTATCCTATATCTCCTTGAGCCTTGAAGCAGTCAAGCATGGACACACTATATCAGCTGTTGGAGTGGAACCCTGTACAGGTAGGCTCTACTTTTCAGCAGGCACAAGATTCATGTCCACTTCTAGCTGATTGCGTATGTCGCATACTCTTTTTCTACTGCAAGGCTAAAACAGTCCAGCTAGCTCTGACAACTTAAAAGAAAACTACGGTGCCATGTACTTACCTAATCCAGTGTGTTTCACACTTTGGAGAAGGTAATCTCATAGCTACTAAATACAGTGAGGGAGCAATAGCTGACTCACCTCAAGTACAAAATCAAATCGATAATGTACCTCGGCTGGAGACTGTACTTTTCGCAGGCGGAGATACCATGTACCGGCGCTCACTAGCTCTTTAGGGCCTGAGCTAAATCAAACTAAAAGGGAAAGCGGCTTTTTCTCTACAGAGACCTATAAAAGAATCAAACGACACTCGCGTAACAAAGAACTAAAAATTCAAGACCGCACAATGCAATGAATTAAGATGCCTTGCAAAATGCAAGGAGCGTACGGTCCGAGGAATAATCTTCTCGTGACGTGGTCTCGACCGCTTTCATCCACAGACAAAATAAAACTGCATCAAAAGGACTCTCTTTCACATTCACATCAAAAACACAA